AGGCCTCAAGGCTCCTTCCCAGCCCGCAGCGAGGGGCTGGCGCAGGGGAGCCACTTGCTTTGGCCCCTCGCGAGGCCACGATCTGGGACCGGAGAGGCCTCGGATGGGGGCAGCGCAGCCCTGAACACTGCCCTGTTTGTGCTTCAGGAAGGGAGCGTTCGCGGTTGTCCTGCCACGGCGGCAGTGCTGGGAGCAGATCAAAGAGCTGGTGGTTTTTTTCTTTCCATGCCTTGTGCCATTCATTCCTCCTGGCTACAAGCCACGATCAGCCTGCTCCTACCACGGAGGCCTCTCCAAAGGGGAGGACGTGAGGGACCTGCTGCAAGGCCACCTTTCCTACAGAGAAGCCCAGGGCAGCAGGCAACCCATCCATTGCAGCTGTATCCTGTGCAGGGGAGCCTTGAGCAGGGTCACCCCATGCTGGCATCTAAAACGCACCACCCCCTGGCACCCAGTGCTCCTATGCCATTAACTTAGCTGGTCGGAAGCCCTGGGTCCCGTTGCTTTGTCCGTGGCCATGCATGTCCGCGTGCCTCCGTGCGCACGAGCTTGTGCCCACAGGGAAGGAAAGCACTGCCAGCTCCTGCAATCACTGGCATCACCTTAAAGCGCAGGGATTACGGGGCTGGAATTTGATTTTGAAAGACATTTCTTTCTCTTAATGCTGCAGAGAAAGCTATGGTGCCTAAAATAAAAGCTCAGTGCCGAGAAGAGCCGCAGCTCACTCTGCGGAGCAGCTTCGTGCCAAGGTGGGTACCCATGGCCATGCGTGTGCTCGGTGCCACGTGGCGCTGTGGCTGCCCTCGGGAGCCCCCGCAGCCCCTGCGCATGGGGCAGGACAGTGCTCGGCCCTTGCTGTCCTCCCCAAACCCATTTACCTTCCCGAGGTCAGAGGCCCAGGGTATCTGAAGGGGGGTCAGCTGGTCCCCAACGTGCCAGACCCCCAAGCCCAGCCCAGCTCCATCCTAACTTTCTGCTTTCTGCTGGCGTTTCAGGCTTTTGACTCCCCACCCAACATCGCAGCTGCCCCTGCTGTTGTCCGCAGTGTCTGCGTTACAGCAGGTTTGATTTGAATTCTTTGTGGGCTGGTATACGTCAGCAGGATGCTCTGGGGCCTGGGAATAATGGGCTGAGGCTCAAGAAGTGGTCAAATCTGTTGGGAAACCTCATCTTGCAGAGGGGTTAGAAGAGAGGTAAGAAGTGCTCTCCTGCCCTTTGGAATTCCCTCTAAAGTCCCGCTCGCAGGTAAGGAAGGGTGGGAGATGGCTGTCGTTTTGCAACACGCAACGTCCTCAAGCAACGCTGGGCTCCGCTCCTCGATGCCTCGGAAAGCCCCACGGAGAGGCCCTGAGCAGAGCAGCTGCCCCTGCACGCTCGCAGGTAAGGAAGGGTGGGAGATGGCTGTCGTTTTGCAACACGCAACGTCCTCAAGCAACGCCGGGCAATGCCAGCCGTGGTGGCGGCAGAGCAGCGCTCACCCGCGGCCCCGTGCGCACGTGCAGGTGTCCTGCCTGCGTGCACAGCCCTGGCACGAGGGGCCCATCCAGGCGAAGCAGCTCCTGGCTTTGCTCGGGGCAGCGCTGACCAGTGCCGAGGCTTGCTGGGCTCCGCTCCTTCTCGATGCCTCGGAAAGCCCCACGGAGAGGCCCTGAGCAGAGCAGCTGCCCCTGCAGCTGGGGGATGCTGGTCCCGGAGCTGTCTAAGAGCTGGCTGTGACTCTTGTCCCTCTCTGGGAGGATGGGACTGTATGTGCTTTCTGCTGTGTGCCCCTTCCACACGAAGTCTAAAGGGCAGCTCAGCCTTCCCAGGTGGCCCAGACTTTGCCTGCAGGCGAGTGACTCACCTGTCTGCCTGACAGCCCTGTCCCTATCAGGATCAGCCAGGTCACCATCCTGGCTGCTTGGAGGGAAACATGTGCTGCGGAGTCATCCCTGGACCTTCGTGGTGCCACGTGGGCTGTGGAGGCAGGAATGGAAAAGCAGCTGGGAGATTCCCATCACGCCCCATGCAGGCCCCTAAGCAGCAGACTGAGATAAACCTCCCATGTGAGTATCTTAATTTCTGCTCTCAATTCCACGCAACAAGGTTTCTCCCACCAGCTACAGATAAATCAGGTGGCAGGAGGGGTGTTTGCACAGCAGAGTGGATCAGCC